CCCCAAACACCCTTCCCCAATTGTTGGCTGCTAAATGCTCCACAAACTACCAAGATAAACTTTCTTAGAGGTCTCCCTGCATCAATTTGATAAGTAGTCATCCTGCAACACATTTTTGGTCCTAGTCCTAAACCACACATGGTCAAATTCAGACAATATTATGTTTAGAGAATAATATCAGGCATCATAGACCCTAAACTCCAAGTGCCAATTTGAGAGACACGTTTCAGGCTTGCATCCATGGATATTGACGGTTGAGGGAACAATGAGCAAACTAGTAGGGACTTACAACCAAGATACGCATAAACAATCAAAAGGAAGCACACAAGCAAATGAAAATGGGCAAAAACTATCAACAAATGTCCAAAGATCAATAGTAAGGCTACATGTGGGCACCACCTTCCTCATCTTCACCTGGCTCCTCGTCTAGAACTTCAAATCTGCACGGAGAGATACAAGGTTAATACAAATTATAGATGTAAACGATCCAGTTGAAGACATAATTAAGTAAATAAAAAGGTGCTCTCTCTAACAATTAAGCCTTTAGATGATATGTAAATAGCAGGTAGACGTTTGGGGTTAGAATCTCACCGCCATCCATAGTCAAAAAAGAATATAGCAGGTAGACGTTTGGGGTTAGAATCTCACCGCCATCCATAGTCAAAAAAGAATATAGCAGGTAGACGTTTGGGGTTAGAATCTCACCGCCATCCATAGTCAAAAAAGAATATTCACGTACTTGACCCATTAAATAAAAAATCAGGCCGCACACGTAAGGGAGCCTGGTGAAGACATAATTAAATAATTAAAAGTATGCTCCCTCTAACCCATTAAAATCATGTCCTCTAGATTAACCATTCACTATGAAGCTTTATTGCAAAACTTACTCTTTTGTTTCTTTGTCATAATGAGTAACTTTAACAATGACCCACTCATCCTTTTCACCATCCTCTAGCGCGACCCTAGCAGCCACCTGGTGGTAAAAGGTTTAACTATGTTATTGCCACCACAAAAGTAAAAGCTCATTCACATACTAAAGGTGCTTGAATGATATTATAAAATAGGGAAAAGGTCCAAAATTACCCCTTTATTATGGTATATTGTTTACTTTTGCTACCCGTTATAATTTTTTGTCCAATCTAGCCCCTACCGTTAATCAAGTTTTAAAAATTACCCCTAACCCTAACGTTTTGACACTGTGGCAGCTGACCCCCTCAATTTCATCCATGTCAGCTGCCATGTCATCGACCCCACCAAATTAAAACCCCACAGTACATTCTCTTCCAATTTCATTACTTTTGCAGCTTCAGCTTAGTGTAGAGCCTCCATGGCAATTAATTCTTCTTTCAATTTATCCCTATCATTTTTAATCGCTTCCCAAGACGATGTTAGATCTTTAGTTGTAACCAAATCATTGTTCAACGAGATTTCATCTTTCCATTCAAAATAACCACAAGAACGATTATGTCGAAGACAAAAAAACCAGAGAAGAAACTAAGATCTTTATTATTAGACTATAATTTAGAGCAAACTGATAATAATTTAGATCTTTTGTTAGAGAATCACTAACCTTAGGCTTCGGACATTTATAAAATCGCCTTCCAGGGTTTAATGGAGTCGTTGAAGTGAAGTGGTTTGCAATGATGCCACAACGACACCTAATTTGGGAAGAACAGCTTCCTTGCGACATTGAAGGCTGAGGAAAATAGCATTGGGGTCGTGTGAGCCCTAATTCTTTGGAGACGGGAATGTAATGGGTATGTGGGGTTTTAATTTGGTGGGGTCGATGACATGGCAGCTGACATGGATGAAATTGAGGGGGTCAGCTGCCACAGTGTCAAAACGTTAGGGTTAGGGGTAATTTTTAAAACTTGATTAACGGTAGGGGCTAGATTGGACAAAAAGTATAACGGGTGACAGAAGTAAACAATATACCATAGTAGAGGGATAATTTTGGACCTTTTCCCTATAAAATATCGAAAGAACTTATTCACTTCCATGAAAATAAATCCATACTTGTTCACCCTTCAGGCTAGCAAAGAACTCCTGCTGATTTAGCATTGAAGGAGAGAGCCTGGGAATGTCAGAGTAACCTTTCATCCTCTTCTTTTTCTGCTCGTTGCCTTCTGTCATCCATGTAGATCCAAATGCATTAATCAAGGTGAAAACAATTGAAGTTGATGATCAGAAATAGAGTTGAGTCTATTAATTTAGATTTAAACAAGAAAATATTTTTTAAATTCATAAAATAGATGTTTGATTCGTTAGGCTCAATAATAACTTGCTTTAAGGTATTCCTTTGCATAAGGGCTACAGCTAAAGCATTATATGTGGGGGTGTGCTTATTATTTTGTCAACGGTGTCGCTATCCACCAAGTTGATATTCGACTCGCTTTACACTCCTTTTGGTACATCTCATTTTTTTACCAATTGATCAACTTAATATAGGCAGATATGGGAAGTTAGAGAATTTTGGAACCATAAGTTTTCCAGAAACGTCACTGGATGTTATGCTGCCTTGTACTTCTGCGGAATACCCGAATCTAAATCCTAAACAAATTAGTAATACCACAAGACAAAAAAACACTGTCATCTAATTAGCAGTCAAGATTTTATTTTATTTTCTTGATAAGGAAAAAATAAATAAATCTTGACTGCTAATTTATGACCAATCTCGTATTTTCTTCAATATCCCAAAGTATTCTGCCACTATTGTCCTACTAAAGATTGATTTATCGTGGATCTCAAGTTTAGGCTATAATTGCCATTCAAGTTCTTTAGAGGAGACAGGCAAAGATAAAAATACTTCAAAGAGAACTTTGGTGAGGTATTGTGTGTGTCCCACAAGAACAATCAACATCCAAAAATTGAAGATGTTGTAAGCCAAGTCTTAACTTTAAAGAGCGTAACGCTAGAGATTCAATGATTGCTATGTTCTATCAATCATAGTACACACACCTATCTTTCTTCTCTGTTGCCCAGCACCTCCAGCAGGGATTAACGCATCCAGCTGGCCTAACAAATGGTTGGATTAAGGCCGGCAAGTGGGCTGGTCCAAACGGTCCCGGTTCGGTCTCAAATTAAACGGGTCAAACGGTATCAGGCCAAATGGTCTTTTTGTAAGGACCGGCCCGGGACCGTATGGTCCCGGACTAAACGGTCTCGGCCCGCGGGCTAAATGGGCTGAACGGATTTTTTTTTTAATAAAAAAATTAAATAGATATTAGAGACAAAAGGATGTTAAAAGAAATATCTAAGGCAATGCTTTGTA